GTATGTAAATGACGTAAGTGAAAAGCACTCATTATCTTGTTCTTCTGGCAATAGATTTATTTCTTTGTTTTTTTGCCTTTTTTTCATGCTTTCTATTCTTTTCTTCAGATACTACAGTGACTTAATCGATTTATTTTAAAGATTTTCTGAGTATTCCTGAATTACAGCCAGTGCTCTATCTTCACTGCAGGAGGTCTCCACAGCCACAGCAGCTCCATTAGGAGCCAGCAGGAGCCAGCGTTCTTGCTCGTCTCCCCCTTGTGCAAACTGATGTTCTGTTCCCCTGTCCTCCTGCCCCTTCCCTTCCTTTGAAGTGCTCAAGGTACAGGATGCCAAAAATTTCCTAGCTTTCATAAAATTTCCCAAGCACCAACAACATAATCTCAGAGCTTCCTTGCAATGTTTTATTTCTATGAAACAATCAATTTCTCTGTGACGCTCTGCATAGAGAGTACTGTTTTGCTGTATATGTGTCAGCATGGTCCTAAGTATGGATGCTTTAGGTTGGCCAACGAAAAGGACATCTGCACACCAATTGAAGAGACAGGTACCACTATTGGAATACGAAAAAAAAGCTGGATGGCTTGAGGTCAGCATGTTACCCAAACCTGGCCACCCATTAGAATTATTCTGGGAACTCTTAAACACAAGAACGTGTGGGGCTCCACACCAACCCTAAGATTGTTACTTAGTGGGTCTGATGTGGCCAATGGAACTGAGCCAGCTGCTGTGGCAACTCTCAAAAGCGGCCTGGTTTGGGAACCACTGATTTAGGTCATTTGGCTTCTGTGCTAAATCTCAGCTTCATTTCTCACCTTCTTACATTTATATTCTTCCACGTGGACTTCCGGAGTGTACCTGCAAGTGTGCCTGACACTTACCATCTTATTATTTGTTGACACGCACACATGTGTGAACATATAGTTCCTGGCTCTCCCCTCCACAACACTTCCCATAGAGGATACTTTCTCCTCCTGTGATCACTCCTGCACTTGCTCTGTCTTTCTGTTCTCTGTCCATCCTGCACAGGTTCACACATTCATGATCTCAAAGTACTTTCCCAATGGCTACCAACTGCATCCCCAGCTGTGCCTGCTCCTGGGTCTGGCATTTGCAGGTTTCCACAGTCCAGTCTGACTCGCACCCCTGGCCTCTCCTCCTTCTCCAGTGCTCCACTCCGCAGTCCTCATGGGTCTCATCTCCGGAAGGCTGCCCAGCTGCCTCTGCACACCCTACCCCCTCACCCTCTTGCCAAATGCTGCTGCTGTTCTTTCTCCTGCTCTTCTTCCCTCCTCGCCCCACAATATTCACACCATCACTTATGGCAGTGTTTCACCAATCTCAGGTATTCTCCCGCCAGCTGTACTGTCAATATCTTAATATTTCTTTTCTTTAAACCTACTCATTGTTTCTATTTAATTTTAATGGCTAACTATATTTCTATGATAAATAAAAACAGTACCCTTTGCCATAACTATAAAGCAACCATAAAAATGCAGAGAATACAAAACAGTCTTGCTAGAGCCTGCCTGCTTTGAACTTAAGGTCTACTTCCTCTTGGGCAGTTAAGGGTGATGTTAAAAACATATGAGGCCCAAAGAAAAACCTTCTCCTCTAAGTAAGTGGAAGGTCTGAAGGAGAGGCCAAATGGGCGTCACTGTCCTGTTCGACAATGTCCTGAAGAGATACTCAGTACCTGGCTGTTGGCCTCCCCCGAGCAGCACCCAAACCTCCAGTGACCCTGCCCACCTCAGGGAGTCTGGTCGATTAGAACAAATTACTTACCTACCAGCAGCCAAAAGAAAGTTCTCTGGCCCCTGAATGCCAAAAACAACTTTACCACCTGGCGGAGGCCATGACAATCCGGGGCTCAGCATGGGAACCAAATGAAGACACCCCCTTGGAAGGCAAAGCCCCAGAGGGGATCTGTGTGTGTGGCAAGGCCCCACGGAAAGTCTTGAGGAAAGTTCTGCATAGCTGCCTTGTGACTTAGGGTCGCCTGGTTATTCCCATTATATTGTTATGCTCCTGCCTTACAGGAATAATATGTTTCAATCTCCCTGGAAAAGAATAATGTAACCAGAATTGGAGGGTACAGTGTCTACAATGCCAGTAATAAAGCAGTCAATGTTTCAACATCGGCTATGCCTCAGGCAATACAAATAAGAACAGGAGAGGTCATGACGACCCAATTGTCAATAGAACCAATTACTGTAACATCCACTGCAACAAAATGTACCTTTAACTGTATGGCAAATGAAACACTTAGAGATTTTCTATTAAAGTTGTGGCATAAGGAATTAACAGAAACTGAGGTAAAAACTGTTACAGATAACATAGGTATAATTAAACATCAGATTAGTCATAAAACCGGAACCCCAAAAAATAAAGCCCCTAAGGCCTTACCTACTATTAGAGCAGGACAACATGTGGGATATAATATTAATGGTAGAGTGGGCCCCTAGGGATAGAAGCCAAATGGTAGGGGTGGGCTTCTAGGGATAGAAGCCGCATGCAAGATTTATCATGGCTTGATCCTCCTTTACCTTACATCGGAGCTTATGATGTAGACATGGTTAGGTGGGCTTGGGTAGATGGCAGATGTGTTAAATAGAACTCTCTGTATCTCTGGGAAAGAATTAAATGTAGTAGCCCACCATGGTGTTTAATTCTAAAAGCATAGTAAATAAAAATCTGCTACAAAGTAAATCAATGGTATAAGAAAATTAAATGTAGCTATTATACAATAGAAGTTTGTGAGAATAGATATAATTAGCTAAGCTTGATATATTTAGTATGATGACTTTTTGCTTTTTGTTTAGTTATAAAAATAAGTTAGGAATACTTAGAATAGATGAAGTAAGCTTTGTGTGAACCCACATATTATTGCTTTAATAGCGGATCATCCTTTTTTACCTTTTATTTTCCATATAGAAAATTATATATTTTCATGAAATAGGATGTTAAGTTTATAAGGTTATAGTCCAGCAGGTGGTGGTAGTGATAACCACTAAAACTGGTTTTGGGTCTATGGGCAAGTTGTATTAATCATTAACTTTATAATAAATCTTGTAAGACATGAGAACATGCAGTGTCTGTGACAAAATAATGAAACCATCTTGTGATTGTATAACCACAAAAAATGATTAATTTAGAATTGTAAAAGTTACTATAAATAAACGCAACCTGGTATGCTTGATTGCCAGAGTGCCTGAAGAAACTCTGGTCATGACTCCTCATTCCTTCGCCTCATCACATCTCCTTCTCGGGTCCTCGTGAACCCCCCGGAGCTGGCCTCCGGCAACCACCCACTTGCACCTGGCCTCAGAAAGCCAAGTAGAACACGAAGCTTCACATAACTTGGGTTCCTGCAGGCCTCTGGTTTCAAGGACTGTGTCATCTAATCTTACTTTATCTTGGAACCCACACCATCATTTTAATGCAGGAGACATACTAAACACTGCTGGCTAAATGATAGAAATCAATTCCCAAATATATTCTTTGCATTTATTTTCTTAAAAGAAAGGTTGAGACAGACCCCAAGCTTTATTCACAGTCACCCCAACTGGAAACAATCAGCGCCCTCACTGACTTCTTCCCCATCCATGAGCTTTGCCTGCCTTGAAGGCCTTGAAGCCCGGGTAACGAGCTACCCAGTGTCCTCCTCCATGTCTGGCTTCTTTTACAGAGGGATCACTTGAGAACTAAAGTACACCTCCTCTGGCTTAGAGCTGCCTCCTACTGCTCTTGAAATAAAACCCATAAGCCCCAGTGTGGCCGCCCAGGCCCTGCACAAAGTGACCCCTGCCTAACCCTTTAATCTCATCGACTTCTCCTCTCCTGCCCCCACACGGGTCACACTTTCTGTTCCTTGAACTAGCAGAGCTTTGTCACTTCTGAGCTTTTGCACATGTCATTCCAGCTGCCTAAGAGGCTGCTGCTCAGGCTCTGTCGGCTGGTTCCATGTGCCTGTCTGGTCTCAGCTCCAATCTCCAGACACATCTTCACCAATCACCACCAGGAGCCTCTCTCCTAGTTAACCGCTTGTGTGTTTCTTTCCTAGCATAGGCCACAGTCACTACTGAGTGTCTATCTCCATAACTGGCATGTGGGGACCCTCATAGCTCTTAGCCATCATGATGTCCCCCTGAACAGTGCCCAGGACAGGGGATGGCTCATACCAGTTGCTCAACAAAAGCTGTTAACTAAAAAAATAATTCACAATAGCAGAAACAACAAAGGGACGGGGAGGTGAGTAATAATATCCAAGCATAGTTAATATAGGTGAAATACTGCCAGAAGCTGTTGGCATCCATGACATTAAACAAAATGGCAGGCTTTGTATGGGGAAGCAGAACACCAAAGACACAGATGTTCTTAGCAGCAACATAGTTAAGATAAAGTCACCAGTATTCCCTTTGTGTGAGATAGAAGGCTAGCTCTCACATCAAGTAACTTGCTCACTTGTATGAGCATTTATGAGGGCTGCTACATGCCTTGGAGAGAATAAATCCTGGAGAGAAGGAGGTGAACAAGCCTTGTTCCCTCCCTCAAAAACTCACAGTCCAGTGAGGAAACACACACACAAATACTCAATGACATTATGATGAGAGGAGTAAGATAACAAGGTGCCTGGGGAATACGGAGGGAAGTTCAGCAAAGAGGACTCACAGAGGAAGGGAGGACTCTGGAACAAAGGTTCACAGGGAGCAGGCCCTCAGGGCTGGCAGGTCAGGTAGAGGGACAGAGGCCCAGAAGACAGTGTGTGTAAAGGGGCAGCTTGAATGAGGCCTGACCTGGACAGACAGGCAGTGGTCAGGTGACAAGAGGCTATGTAAGCAACCAAGAGCCAGGGAAGGGTTTTAAGCAGAAAAGCAACTTACTAGATTTGTGTTTCTGAAAGAATGTATGGATACTTAAAAAATAGAGGGAAGGACCCCCAAAGCATCTGATTTCCTCAGCTACTGAGAAGGAACGAGTAGCATATGTCAAGAACTCACTGTGTGACAAACTTCTGCTTTTATCTCTTTCAAGGCTCGTTCAGAAAACACACAACCACAGCATCGAAGGAAGCAAAACCTGTAGAAATAATCCAATATGGAGAATGACTCAAACAAGAACTTTAAAACTGTTATACATATTATCAATGAACATTTATTCAGTGTACACAAAACCCAGAACCACAAAGACAAAAACAATTACATTTTAATTCATTAAAAAAATATCAGAGCCGGGCTTGGTGGCTCAGCCTGTAATCCCGCACCTTTGGGAGGCTAAGGTGAGTGGATTGCCTGAGGCTGCGGGTTCGAGACCCACCTGGGCAGCGAGACCTCATCTCTACAATAAATCAAAAAATCAGCCAGGGCGCATGCCTGTAATTCCGGCTACTTGGAAGGCTGAGGCGGAAGGATCGCTGGAGCCCAGGAGGTCGAGGCTGCGGTGGCCGGGAGCAGCCACTGCACTCCAGTCTAGGCGACAGAGTGAGACTCCAACTCAAAAAAAAAAAAAATCAGGCTGGGCACTCACACCTGTAATCCCAGCAATTTGGGAGTGGAAGCAACAGGACTGTCTGAGTCCACGAGTTTGAGACCAGCCTGGGCAACAAGGTGGGACCCTGCCTCTACAATAAATAAAAAAAATTAGCTGGACATAGTGGTACACACTTGTGGTTCCAGCTACTTGGAAGACTGAGGGGAAGACTGAGGTGGAAGGATCGCCTGAGCCCAGCAGGTCAGGGCTATGGTGGCCATGAGCATGTCACTGCACTCCAGCCTGGGTGACAGAGTGAGACTTCGACTCAAAAAACCCAAAAAACAAACAAACAAACAAACAAACAAACCCAGTATGTTCTCACGACAAAGGGCCAGAAAAAAAATCAGTATGTTAAAAGAAACCTGAGTGTGTGTGTGTGTACACACACACACACACACACACACACACGAGTATATATAATCTCTCTCTCAAAACGAAAACCACAAACATAAAAAGTAAAAAGAGAGACTAAGAACTCAGAAAAAAAAACATTTAAAAATACATATTAAGATTCAAGGCTTATTTTTTGACTATCCAAAGGGGTCTTAAAAAGCAGCAGCAAACAATGTAATAGAAAAATGGACAAAGGTATTAACATGCAGTTCATGAAAGATATATAAAAGCCAAAACATATAAAAAGATTCCTAATCTCACATGTTAAAGAAATGCCTTTCAACCCATGACACATTTTTTTAATCTATCAACAATAATGAGAGGCTAAGAATATCAGTTGGAAACTGAGGACACAGGTACATTTGTTGGAGGGTGGACACAACATGGTACAACACTTTATAGGAGGATAATTTAGCAATAAAAAGTAAAGTATCACTCCTAAGAATTTATCCTACAGAAACATGCCCACAAAGGTGCAAATGCACAAATACGTATTTATGAAGTGGTGTTAACATAGCACTGTAACAGGGAAAAGAAGAAAACCACCTAAATGCTCATCTATAGGGGAAGAGTCAAATAATTATGAACACTCAAGTAGCTATTCAAGAGAATAAGGCAAATCTGTATTAGGGTCATAAAACCACGTTCAACTCAGATGGAGAGGGAGAAAAAAAAGACCGCAAAGAATGTATACTATAACCTATGACCGTCTGGGAAGAAAACATGTTTATTTACATGTCTGTATGCAGAGGTGCAGGGAAACATAGATGTGAGTGTGTGGTAGGGAGGGGGACATTAAACACCAAACAACTCTTAATGCTACCACCAGAGGTGAGGACTGGGGGAGAGGGCATAAAGATGTTCACATTTTACTTCATGTATTCCTTGAAAAATGCCACAGTAGAAATTTTCTCTAATTTTCCAGGGATGATAGCAGGTACAGATTGCCCTAACAAAAATATAATTAATAACACTGTACTAAATTCATTAAATGTTGTTTAGAATTTTAAAAATTCTATTTTATGGATGCTTACTAATCATCAGTAAACTAGGAAGATGATTTTCTTTTTTAAAAAAAAGTCCTGGCCAGACACGGTGGCCCAGCCAATAATTTCAGCATTTTGGGAGGTTGAGGAGAGAGGACTGTCTGAGCCCGGGGGTTCAAGAGCAGTCTGGGCAACTTGGTGAGACCTTGTCTTTACAATAAATCACAAAAACTAGCTGGGTGTAGTGGCATGTGTCTATAGTTCCAGCTACTTGGAAGGTTGAGGCAGAAGGATCACCTGAGCCCAGCAGGTCGAGGCTACAGTGACCGTGAGCATGACACTGTACTACTGCCTGGGTGACAAGAGTGAGACTCCAACTCAAAAAAAAAAAAAAAGTCCTGGGATCTGGTGGGGGGGAGAGGGGAGGTCCCAATGTTTTTATTATCAGCTTATTTCTATTTTTCTGTATATTTAAATATTTATTATACCAACTTTACTAAGTACAGTTTGCCCTCCATATCCATAGGTTCCCATCCATGAATTTAACCAAGCTAGGATCAAAATATCTGTGGGAAAAAAATGTATGGTTGCATCTATCCTGAACACGTTCTGATTTTTTTCTTGTCATTATTCTCTAAATAATACAGTTTAACAACAATTTACATTACATGAGGTATTATATGTAATCTAGAGATTACTTTAAATATACAGGAGGCTGTGAATAGGTTATATGCAAAGATGACATCACTTCATATTAGAGATCTGGCATCTGTGGATTCTGGTATTTCAGAGGGTCCTGGAACCAATGCCCCATGCATATTGAGAGACAACAGTATACAAACGAATCCAGCAATCAATGTTTGAGTGTGGAGGCTCTATTGATCACAGATGGGCAAAGTTAAAATAAGCAAAGCTCAATTAACTGTGTAAGAGAAAAAGGAGAAGAGATCAGCTAGCAAATGAAAAGGGGAAAACGACAGGAAGCCACAGTCAGAACAGGCTACAGTTTACTCCGACTCAGACCCCACAGTGGAGCCTATTTCTGCTAAGTTCCTCTTCTGGGGTGAACCATGGTTTTCTTAAAAGTGGGAAGCCAGACACAAAAGGCTACATACTGTGTGATTCTATTTATATGAAATACCTACAACAGGTAAATTCACTGAGACAGAAAGCAGAGTGGTGGTTGTCAGGGGCTGGGGGTAGGGGAAGATAGCGAGTAAGTGTTTAATGTACAGGGCATTTTCTTTTGGGGTGATGAAAATGTATTGGAACTAGACAGAAGTCATGACTGCACAACATTGGGAATGTACTAAATGCCACTGAAATGTACACTTTAGAATGATCGATTTTATGTTATGTGATTTCGCTTCAATATATACACATATACATAAAAGGAAGTGGGACATGTTTAGGTAAACGAGTCTGACTCCCCAGATATGTCCTGCTTGGCCCAAATGGAGAAGTTTAAAAGAGAGTCCTAAATGGCTTAGATTCAAATTATTTGAAGAAGAATATATAACCTTTTTTCTTGTTTTTGAGTCAGTCTTACAATATTGGCCAGGCTGGAGTGGAGTGGCACAATTTGGCTCCTCCTGGGCTCAGGCAATTCTTCTGCCTCAGCCTCCCAAGTAGCTGGGACTATAGGTACGTGCCACCACACTTGGTTAATTTTTAAAATTTTTTGTAGAGATGAGGTCTTGCTGTGTTGCCCAGGCTGGTCTTAAGCTCCTGGGCTCAAGCACTTTCCCCGCCTCAGCCTCCAAAATACTGAGATTACAGGTGCGAGTCACTGTGCCCAGCCTCAAGAATATAATCTTTAAGAACAAGAGGTCTTTAGGCCTTAAATTATACTTCTCTTCAAATCCATGAAGCTCCAGCTTGCTCAGTTTCAGAGCAGGGCAGTGAGCTCTCTGGCACATTCTGCCACATATGGCAAACAGCCTGCACAAGAAGGTGCTACATACGCCTGTTAAATAAGTGTGTATAAATGTGCCAGGATGCTCAGATTAAACTGTTTATAGCTCGACTTAAAAATGTTTACTTACTTGAGATGCTGTCTCCAACCCTTTTCCTGAATCAAAGTAGTAAAAAATGCTACCTTTCAATATGTCAGGTGTTTGACAGATTCGAGAGGGCAGTCTGGACTACCAGCTATTAAAGACACAAGCATATCTCATTTTATTGTGCTTTGTAGATATTGCCTTTTTAAAAAAACAAACAAATTGAAAGTCTGTGGCTACTCTGCATGGAACAGGTCTATCAGTATGTGTTTACTTCGTGTCTCTGACACATTTTGGTAATTCTCACAATATTTAGAACATTTTCATCATTATACATCTTTTAGGTTGATCTGTGATCAGTGTCCTGTAATGTTACTGTTGTAGCTGTTTTGGGGCACCTTGAATAGAACCCGTTAAGAAGGTGAACTTAATCAATACATATTTAGATGCTGAACATAATCGATGCATATCGTGCGTTCTGACTGCTCCACTGCCCAGCTGTTTCTCCCTCTCCTCAGGATCCCTTGTTCCCTGAGACACACAATAATGTTGAAATTAGTCCAGTTAATAACCCTACAATGGCCTCTAAGAGTTCAAGTGAAAGAAAGGGTCACACGTTAAATCAAAAGCTAGACATCATTAAGCTTAGTGAGAAAGGCATGTCAAAAGTCAAGATAGGGCCGGGCTCGGTGGCTTAGGCTGTAATCCCAGCAGTTGGAAGGCCGAAGTGAGTGGATTGCCTGGGCAACTTGGCAAGACCCATCTCTACAATAAACCAAAAATTAGCCGGGTGTGGTAGCACACGCCCGTAGTTCCAGCTACTTGGAAGGCTGAGGCGGAAGGATCGCCGGAGCCCAGCAG